GTGCACGGTCCCCTTCGCGTCCAAGTCCTTGGATGGATATGTGTTTCCATTGCGGTTAGTGTCTTCGCAGCACCACTAAGCATTGTGGTACGTAGTCCCTATTCAATGCGCTTAATTATTATTAAGTTGATGCGTATTTCTTTGAACTAATTATTATTTTCAATTTCGCGCGTTATGCACTTTGCAGGCACAAGTTGTTCGGACAAAGAGTGTTGAGTTTATGCCTTTCAATTTGTCATTTACACTCACATTGAGTGCCGTAATGTGGTTTGGTTATGGTCTCTTTCTCAAGGACATTTGCATTGCTGTAAGTATATATTGTTGCACAAATATGCAACTCAATTAATTTAATAATTTAATATTGACAAACTTACTCAATGAACCAGACATTGACAAAATTTTCGTTTCCCAAATGTACTTGGTTTTGCACTGGGGTTGCTTCAGATGCTGCTCTATGGCATTTACAGGAAAGGCTATATGAAGGTTAATACAAAGGAAACGAAGCTACCGCTAGAACCACTGAAAAATGTTGTTGTAGAGAACCCCTTGGGAACTGGTGAGGTGTTTCCTGTGGAGGAAAACCAACAAGGAAAGAAGATCAAAGAAACGAGAGAGGAGAAGGAGAAAAGTGAGGAACCTAACGATTGCGCGGTCTAATTAAATGCATGCATGTATGTCACTGTTTCGTGGGCACTACGATGGCCATTGACCCACAACTATCTTCTTTTTAATTTCTTCCATTAAGTTGTAGCTACCTGCATGTGCCACTGATTCTATCTTTGAATTTTAACCAATTAAATTTCGCATTATAAATCTCCCTCTCTATAAATAATGCTTCTTTTTCTTCACAAAAACATGAAAAATATTAGCACCAACATTTAGATTAACTCTAAGCATTTAATATTTGTAAAATTTTATCAGAAAAATAAGTATTCATTATATTAGAAATATAAAAATATAATAAATATCCTTTTTTTCTTAACAAAATTGTAATATTTTTGAATACTTAAAATTAGAGTTAACAAAATTAAATAAAAGTTGTTATAATACGCTTTTTAATTCTCTTGACAAAGCAGTCACCAAAAAGATAACTAAATTGACCAACTCTCTCAAAAGCTTGAGAGCTTCTTGTGTATACTAAGCTAATCAACAACTAATACATCACCCCTTCAAATTAAATTATCTATCTCACTATATATCAATGACCAATTTATATTATTTGTAATATAAATTGTAATATTTTATCAGAAAAATAAGTATTCACTATATTAGAAATATAAAAATATAATAAACATCCTCGCAGTTTCTCGTGGGGAGTCATCTTTCTCGGATCCTTCCAAGTCCCATCTGCGTCCAGATCCTCCTGCTGCTTCATTTTTCAATATTCTTCCACTTTTATCATCTCTGTTCCTTTTATCATCACTAGACCCTCTATGACCATGCCCAGCATTGCTGGGGTCATATGCTTGATTGGCCAGATATGAGAGGGCTGTCACCATAGATCTGTATTCGTTGACAATATTGCAAAATTATGGAACATGGCAAAAGCAAATGATTCTAGGAAGAGGAGAGTGATGGCTTGTGGAAGTAAATCAAAGATAATGTATGAGATAAGGTTTTTATTTATTTATTGAGGGTGCAAAAGAACCATTCCAACAAAGCACGATGTTCTTTCATCTTGGTTCTTCCCCGGATCTGTTCTCCGGAGTACTCTAAAAGATTGAAACCTTTCCTCTCGAAAGTAAAACAGAACACAAGCAGATGAATACAGGAAAGAAGATTGTACCTGACCAGTGCTTTCGAGCCTCCCTTTGTAGACCCTTCCAAAACCACCTCCCCCTACAAAGGAGTCTGGCCTGAAGTTTTTGGTTGCAGCTGCAAGTTCACGGAAAGTAGAAGTTTGAGCAGCAATTTGGACAGCAGGTCCATCCTTGGGAGCAGGCAGTTCCCTTTTGGAACCTCCATTGCTTCTAGACCGTAACTTTTCTGCTCCTTCAATACAAGAAAGAATTGTTGATTCATAAGTTGCTATTCTATTCTATTCCAAAACCTCACTGGATTCTGATTCAAGTATGAACCTTGTTCACCTAACGCTAACAGGTATTCTAATTGATTGATAACTTGAATAAAGCATGAGCATATGCAAGTAAGTAGCCAGAGAAACTCCGTATGACTCAGGCAGTTCTATCTTATAAGCATTGTCATTGATCTTTTGTACTACTCGGAATGGTCCATCTGCTCTCGGAGACAATTTAGCATTTTGCTGCTTTGGAAATCTATCCTTCCGTAGATGAATCCATACCAAATCTCCTTCTTTGAAAATAGCATGTCTCCGATGGTTACCTCGTTGAGTTTTATACTTGGTATTTTGCTTCTCAATTTGTGCTCGAACTTGCTCATGAAGCTTCTTAATCTCCTTGGCTCTTTGGTCAGTATCGGCACTGAACTGGTTATTAGTGGGAATAGGGATCAAGTCCAATAGGCTAAGAGGTCTAGTACCATACACGACCTCAAATGGACATTTTCCAGTAGCAGGATTACTGGAATTGTTGTAGGCGAACTCAACTTGAGGTAAGATAAGATCCCATTGTCGAAGATTCTTCTGAACAAAGCTTCGTAGTAGATTTCCCATAAGTCTATTTATTGCCTCTGTTTGTCCGTCAGTCTGGGGGTGGCTAGCACTGCTGAATTGTAGTTTAGTTCCCATCTTCTTCCATAGAGTCCTCCAAAAATGGCTTAAGAATTTAACATCTCTATCTGAAGTGATAGTTTTGGAAATTCCATGCAGTCGAACAATCTCCTTGAAGAATAGATCGGCAATGTGAACAACATCATTGGTCTTTTGGCAAGGTATGAAGTGGGTCATTTTAGAGAATCGGTCCATGACCACCATTACTGAATCCTTCTGTCGTTGTGTACGAGGTAATCCTAACACAAAATCCATGCCGATATCCTCCCATGGTGCAACTGGTACTGGAAGAGGTAGGTATAGCCCAGTGTTTTGGCTTGTGCACTTGGCAAGGTGACATATTCGACACCTTTGAATATGACGAATAACATCCCTTTCAAGTCTCGGCCAATAGAAGTTTTCTTTGATTAAGGCTATTGTCTTGTCTCGTCCAAAGTGTCCGGCTAATCCTCCGTCATGTGCTTCCAAAATGATTGCTTCTCTTAAGGAGCATTGGGGAATACACAAGACATTGTTTTTGAATAGGAATCCTTGTTGTCGATGGTAATGTTGGAAATGTTGATTTTCTGTAGAGCTCCAAATGTTTCGAAAATCTGGATCATCTTGATACAATTCCTTAATAATTTCAAAACCTACTACCTTCATCTGCATTGTAGATAGTAATGCACGCCGTCAACTTAGCGCATCTGCTACACTGTTTTGAACCCCCAACTTGTGTTTAAGCAGAAACGGATAGGCTTGAAGGAACTCACTCCAAGATGCATGTCTACGACTGATCTTTTGTTGAGAATTCAAGTGTTTCAAGGCTTCATGATCTGTATAAAGGATGAATTCCTTAGGAAGCAGATAGTGACTCCAATGTTGCAGTGCTCTCACAACAGCGTAGAACTCCTTATCATAGGTGGAGTATTTGAATTTAGCATCATTTAGCTTCTCGCTAAAGAAAGCTATAGACTTTCCTTCTTGACTGAGAACGGTGCCAATGCCGCTATTCGAAGCATCACAGCTTACTTCGAACACCTGATCAAAGTTAGGAACTGCTAAAACTGGAGCTTTAGTTAGTCGTCTTTTCAACTCATCAAAACTATTTTGAGTGCTTTCTGACCATTGAAATTTATCTCTTTTAATACAATCTGTAAGCGAGGCAGCAATGAAGCTAAAATTCTTTATGAATCTTCAATAGAACGAGGCTAATCCATGAAAGCTCCGTACTTCTTGCACAGAGTTAGGGGTAGGCCAGCTGATGATTGCTTCAACCTTGCTAGGATCAACCTTGACACCTTCACCCATAATAATGTAGCCCAAAAAATTTACTTCATTTGTCAAGAAGGTGCACTTTTTGAGGTTGGCATACAACTTTTGCTCCCTGAGAATGCCCAACACTTGGTGAATATGGTCTAGGTGTTCTCCTTTGCTTTTGCTATAGATTAAAATATCGTCGAAATAAACAACTACAAACTTTCCAATGAAAGGGCGTAGTACCTGATTCATCAATCGCATGAAGGTGCTAGGTGCATTGGATAAGCCAAATGGCATGACGGTCCACTCATATAGCCCATCTCTTGTCTTGAAAGCGGTCTTCCACTCATCAACAGGACGTAGTCTAATCTGATTATAGCCGCTGCGAAGGTCAATCTTCAAAAATATGACTGCACCATGTAGTTGGTCTAGCATATCATCGAGTCGTGGAATCGGGAATCGATACTTTATAGTAATCTTATTCACGGCTCGACTATCCATGCACATTCTCCAACTTCCATCTTTTTTGGGCACCAATATGACAGGGACTGCACATGGACTGACACTCTCCTGGATCAATCCTTTTTTGAGAAGATCCTCCACTTGACGTTGTACTTCAGCATGTTCATGTGGGCTCATCCTATAAGCAGGTTTGTTTGGAATAACAGCTCCTGGGATGAAGTCGATGGCATGCTGGATGTCCCTTATAGGTGGTAAATCAGGAGGAATTTCTTCAGGTACCACATCTGGGTATTCTGCAAGGAGCTTTTCTATTTCTTGTGGAATAGGTGTTCCAACGTTTTGTTCGACCATGAGTAATAAGCTTGTTAATTGAGATTCTTCTCGCGTCATCTTAAGCTGTGGTTTAGAGATTAGGGATACGAGTGGTTTGGCTTTGCGTGAGGTCGGGTTGACTTCTTCTGGACCCAATGGAGTCAACTTGATTCTCACTCCATCTTTGACGAATGAGTAGGTATTCTTAAACCCATCATACACAATCTTTCGATCGTATTGCCATGGACGTCCCAATAAGAGGTGACAGGCATCCATGGGAAGGACGTCACACCATACTTCATCTTGATATTTTTTTTCCGATTAAGAAAGCAACTAGGCAACGTTGACTAACCTTGACTTCATTACCCTTATTCAGCCATTGTAGCTTGTAGGGATGTGGATGATCCTTAGTAGGGAGCTTCAATTTCTCCACCATGTAGCTAGACACAACATTTTCACAACTTCCACTATCGATGATGACATCACAAATTTTACCTTGAGTGGTGCATTGAGTGTGGAATATATTGTGTCTCATCCATGGTTCTTCTATAACAGCAGCTGTGTGAAGACTGCGTCTAACCACTAAGGCTTCTCCATGATCTGTTGGGGTCAACTCTTCATCAAACACTGGAAGACTGTTGAAATCATTTTGGTAGAATTCAAGTTCTTCTTCAAATGCTTCGTAGGCCTCTCCTTCAATGATAGTGACAACTCTTCGATTAGGACAGTCAGAAGCAATATGCCTATAACCCTGGCATTTGAAGCATTTGGGCGATTTGGATTGGGTTGGTTGTTTGGGGCTAGTGTCTTTAACAGGGTTGGAAAGGGTTTTGTTTGTAGCTGTAGGTTGCGATGGTTGAGCTTTGCGAGGGGTAAAAGGGCTTCGTGAGGATGATGGTTGGAATATTGATCTTTTAGGGAGTTGCTTTTCGACTCGAATGGCTAACTTGATGACATCATCTAGGGTCCAATACTGTTGTAGTTGGACAAGCTGGGAAATTTCAGGATTTAGCCCTCCAAGAAATCTAGCAATTGTTTGTTCTTCCTTCTCTTGTATATCGCATTTCATCATCAATAATTCAAATTCTCTAGTATACTCCTCTACTATCTTAGAATCCTGGCGTAAATTATGGAACTTAATAAAATTATCTTGATAGTAGTGGTCAGGAAGAAACTTACGTGTGAGTTCTTTTTTCATTTTCTCCCATGTCTTTATCTTGCTTCGGCCTTCCCGCTCACGTTTCTTCTTTATATTTTCCCACCAAATGGATGCATGCTTCTTCAATTTAACAGCGACGATCTTGACCTTTTGTTCATCCAGAATTTCTTTTAATTCGAACACACGCTCCACTGTCTGTAACCAATCCACAAATTCATCTGGCTGTAGTCTCTCCTCAAATTCAGGAATGTCTATCTTGATGTTGTCGAAGTAGCCTCGAGTGCTCTTTCTTCGTGGGTGACTGGTATTAGACGAATAGTCACTTTCTTCAGAATCATTTTCTGAATTGGAGTTCCTTCGACGATTGAGTAGAGATTGTTGTTCCTCCACAATTTCTTGTAGTTCTTGAATTTGTCGGCGTAACTCGTCCATCTCGATCTCTTGAGCATTCCTTCAGTTTTGGCGTCTTGGTGGCATTTTGTTGTATGGGTGGGAATAAAATTATGAAAAGGTTTGGGACAATATTTGGCACAACAATGTTGAATGCATGGTGCTCATGCGACTGATGATGTCACTGTCTTCAACCTTCTCCCGAGCGCGTCTACGGTGTTGGCTTGTTAAGAAATGACTCAAAATGCTTCTTAAGAGTGACCGAAACTAACTTTAATAAGGAAAGAAGCGAAGAGAATTTAGGTCAATTCTAAACGACCAAGAGTGTAGGAAGCTGGGAACCTGGCTCTTGATACCAAATGGCTCAGAAACCAATAAGGGAAAGTGACCAAGTAGTGCTTAGAACTCTCAAATAGGACAAGAGAAAACTAAAGCTTGAAACTCTTAGTAGAGAATGAGAATTTGCTTATTCAACTTTATGCCAAAATGAGGAGTACAATGGGATATTTATAGTATTACAAGGATGGTTCTAGAACATAGATTATTTTATAGTAGATATTAAATAAGATAATTCTAGATTAGAGATGTTTCTAGAGAATGGATAAGTCTAAAGTAAGGATATTTCTAGATATTAGGCCATATGGTTAGGAATGTTTCTAGATATTGGGCCATATTGTTAGGGATGTTTCTATATATTGGGCCAATATGTAAACGGTTCTGTCCACTTTCTCACATTATTAGTAGCCTCAGCACTGTCTTGATCCAACACTCGGATCAAAAACAGAACCAAGTTCACTCCAACTCCAAAGAATGCTAGTGTAGCTAGTGCTTGATTCCTACATCTATTTTTCACAACAATATTCAATCTCACACTTCAACTTATTATTATTTCAAAAATAAATGTTGAGGACATGGTTGATCATTCTTTTAGTTCCTGGCAAGGTCATTGCAGTGTTCCATCCTCCTCCACTCTTCTCATAATTTGTGGTTGCCTCTTTTGATTGTATGTTGTCTACGTTTGATGAATGCAACACGTTTAGAATTTGACTAAATCTTAACAAGCTTAAGTGCAAGCTCCCACAAATAAGATGCTTGCATTTGTATGAGTGACTCCCCTGGGTATATGGAGCAATAAGAGGCATGTGACTTGCCTCCTGCTCTCTTGTTACAGCACTTGGACATGTCAAAAAGCAAGCAAAATATTTATACAAACTGGAAATTAATAAAGTGTGCATAGGCAACAAAGTGGCCCAAAATTAAAAACACTTGTCCTGAAATTTAAAACATGGAAAAGAAAATAACAACTAAAGGAAAAAACAATAAAATTGAAGTAAAGCAAAAAGACAGCTTTGCAGGAAATTCAGATATTCTCCTCTACTTCAGCTTCTTCCTCCACAGGTTCTTCATCACATAGCAAGTGCAACAACTCAGCACATGAAGAACCGTCCTGCTTTGCATCATTGACCTGCAAGTCTTGGGCAATGCGGTTCATTTTTGCCTCCAAACACACCATGCCTTGCATTAGCAATTGGGCTTGCCTGATGGTCCTCTTTTTCAGCTGCGTAATTCCAGTGAGAACTAGATTGAGTTGTTGTTTGCTTGTGATGTGAGAAGTGGTGGAAGTGGAGGGTCCCGAAGGAGAGGAGGTAGCTGATGGACTCCTTGCAGCATGCTCAGCCAAGGCAAAAATGGTGGTTGAGGTGATCCATTTCGGTTTTTGTATTGGAATGTCATTGGGGTCAATAGGAACCTTGGCTTCCTCACATAATATTGTAATCAAGAAGGGATAGGCAAGAGATCTCTGATTTTCATCATCCATGATTTGGGTATTTCTTGGTGGATGATTTCGTCAAATTTATTCCCAGACCCATTACTATGCAGTAAATGAGTTGGGCCCTCCTCAACAACAGCGTGGTTTCATGAAGTATGGGGGTGAGAGATCCAATTATGAATTGGAACCAAGCTTGTGGTATGGGGAGTAGATTAGTTACCAGCAGACTATGTGGCTTAGCACTTCCTAAGGGCCTCCATTCAGAACAGGGTTTGCATAGGATTCTGATTATTGCCTCATAATCTGGTGTGCGCTCCAGGAGACTGGTGTAGTCATACCTTGGTGATTTAGAATGGACCCTTGTAATTCTTAGAACTCTGTTAATTATTTCAGGAGTGAATGAAACCTTAGTACCTCTCACCATTGTATGGTATGGGGAAAGGTTGGTGTCAGCTTGAGAATCAACTTTTCCATTTGCATAGAACTCTTGCACGAGAGTTTGAAAACCTTTGCCTGTCAACTCACAAAAATATTCCCAGTTTCTCACTTGGATGGTGATTTGGATAGGTTCATATTCGCCCTCTTTGAGCTTAAAAGCCCGATCTTCAATAATTTTCTTCACTTTTATGTTGGAATTATGGTGTTGCTGGTGGAAGGGACTGCGGAATGGAGCTTTGGTCAATGTTTCTTCACTTTCAGAATCAGAGATTTCAATCATGGCTTTCTTTGGTCTGCTGGCCAAGGTTTTCCTCCTCATCTGCCATGAAACCAGAAATAAGAGAGAATTAGTGTTGCAGAACTGGGAGCAGGGTTCAAGAGGAAAAATCAGTTGGAAGCAAAAAGTCAGAAAAGAGAGAGTTTGTGCCCTAAAATGTGCAAAATATGCATCCAGCAATAAACAACAAGCATCGCCTTTCAACAATAACTCAACAGTGCAGAGATAGGCATAAGAACAATAATGCAACATCCAAGCTATAAAGAACTCACAAAAAAAATAAAAAATAAAAATAAAAAAAGCAAGTGAAAGAGTAAAGGAACATTGAGCACAAACACGAGATTCATGAATGAGAAGAAAGAAGAACAAGAATTGCATTTCAAAACAGAGTTTAAAGCGTAAAAGAGCTACCTTGAGCTACCTTGTGAAGCTCAAAACAATGTATTTTGGAGTTCGGAAAAAGAAATGGAGCGCCCTAAGAGAAACCCAGATGAAAAGGTTTAAAAAAAATGGAAAGTTCTGTTAGTGGTGTGAATAATGCTCAGTAATGGAAGCATTAAAGGGGAAACTGAAATGCCTGAGTAACTGTTCAAAGTCTGAACACAATTTACCGCCAAACAAACACTCTTCTTTCCTTTTTGAAATTATAAAATTAAAATTTAAATAAATAAATAAATTATTATTATTATATTATTTTTTAATTATTATTATTTATATTTCTTTCATTTTTTATTATATATATATATATATATATATATATATATATTAGTGTTTAACTTATAATATTATATTTTAAAATTTTGATTACTAAAAAATTATAAAATAAATTTAAACTATTCAATAATTAAATTTGTATATATTATAATCACATAAATTATTCTATTTTTGTCATTAACTTTATTAAATATACATATTATATATATTATACTAATTTTATTGAATAAATATTTTTATTAACATAAATATTTTCTTTGGGTCATATATATATATATATATATATATATATATATATATATATATATATATTGAATGACATAATTTTTTTATAATAAATTCTCTCATTTCTTAAAAAAATTATTCATCAAAAAATTAAAATAATAGAATTTAAAAAATAAATATGTTAATATTTTCATAAAATTTTATTTATTTCATGATTAATATTAAAAAATTAATCTAAATTATTTTAAAATATTAATTTGTTGTTAATCATATTTTTTAAATGATTCAGTTAATTTTTTTATATTTAAAATTAAATTAAATTAAATTAAATTTTATATATTGTAAGTTATAATTTATATTTAAATTTAATATATTTATTATTTTTTATTAGCTTAATTCAACAAACAAAAAAATAATAAATAACATTTTGATTATTATAAAAAATTAATAATTTTTGTGATGAATTTTATTAAAATATACATATTATATATATTTTGCTAATTTTATCAAATAAATACTTTATTAATGTAAATATTTTTTTTATGTAATATATATATTTTCATATGTACATTAAGTAATGTAAATTTTTAAAAAGTTAGGGTTCCCTTGCGCTCCAAGATAGAATCTTTAGACCTCGAGAGAAAGAGAGAGCGCAGCGCCGCTAGGGTTCTCGTCCTAGCTGGCACGAGGAAGAGTTTCACAACGTCGCCAGAGGGTTTCAAGGAACAAGGCAAGCTGAGTGTGTTGGGTCGTCATCTCTGGTTCCAAGGGGCTGTAGCAGAATGGATCGACAGGAAGGGGAAAAACGTTCAAAGGAAGAAGCAGATCTGGTAGATCGTAGTATGAAGAAAGTGAAAATAAGGCATGAGGAAGTTTTGGAGGAGCCACAGGTGGACATGCAAGAAGATCAAAGCTCTGTAGATCAGATTCCGTCACAGGTGCATGCGATCCTTAATCCTTCTGTTTCTCGTACATATAAAGACACAGTGTTAGGGGCTAAAGACCTAGATCTAGTTCTTAATAATGATGAAATCCTAAAATCAGTATTAGAAGATTTTAATCTCAATCATGAGAATAGTGAGAATGAGGAAATATTGTCAGATACTCAAAACCTATGCCTTGAACTAAAAATCCCTTTGGATGATTGTGAGGCTTGGTGTACCCCTTGGAAGCAAACCCTTATTGTTAAATTGCTAGGAAAGTCAGTAGGTTTTAATTTCCTAAGTCAGAGATTGAATAATATTTGGAGAAAGAATGGTTCCCTACAAATCTTGGATCTGAATAACGAATTCTTCTTGGTTAAATTTGAAAAAATGGAAGATTATAAAACTGCTCTTTTTGAAGGACCATGGCTTATCCTTGATCACTACCTCCTTATTCAGAGGTAGAGACCATTGTTTAGAACAAAGGATTTTAACCTTAAAAAAATAGCTGTGTGGGTTCGTATATCTGATCTTTCCATAGAATTATATAATAACAAATTTCTTTGGCAAGTTGGTACTTGTCTGGGATCAATGCTTAAAGTTGATCCCTATACTTCTCTATTATCTAGAGGAAAATTTGCAAGGATTTGCATTGAAATCGATCTTAGGAAGCAATTAGTCCCAGCTTTTAAAG